AAAGGTCCAAGAAGAGATAGATCAAGTGATAGGGTCAAACCCCCCACGGATCGAGCACCGAACTCAGATGCCATATACAGATGCTGTCGTCCATGAAATCCAGAGGTTTGCCAATATCCTGCCACTGGATCTGCCTCATGAGACTGCTGCAGATGTCACCCTCAAAGGCTATTTCATTCCCAAGGTGAGATGCCTACAGGGTGGTTCTTTAACATTTCTTCTTCCTGAATTTGTCCAGGGATTAATTCCGCTGTCCTGTTTTGCAGGGAACCTACATCATCCCCTTGCTGACCTCAGTCCTGCGCGACGAGTCGCAGTGGGAGAAACCAGACATGTTCTACCCTGAGCACTTTCTCGATGCCAATGGGAAATTTGTGAAGAAAGATGCTTTCATGCCCTTTTCAGCAGGTGCTTCCTCTTTTCCATTTACTGTCATTGCAAGTAACTACTTTTTACAAGGGCTACTTGCACTTTTTGCTACTGAAGCCTGGCCTCCATGTGATCTTTTTAATGGGGCCATTTCACACTCCATGTTTCACAGAATTCTGAGGGGACACCTCTGATAAGAGCAAGTACTCCCAAATGGCTGCTAATTCCTCCAGCCTCTGGATGTTATTGGTGTCTCAGTTAGCACTGAGCAAATATAAATGAGTCTTTGTGGTGCTTTTTTAAATATGAGGAAAGTTTTCAGCAAATTCCAGGATGGTTTATGTGACATATATCCACATTATAATCTGTAGCCCACATCTTCTCGATGTCTTGGGTTTGAGTCTTACCACACCCAGTTGCACTGTCTATGACCACAAAAAGCACACAGCAAAGGTGGCTTCTATGTCTTTCCTGTTTCATTTTTCCATGTCCCCTTTAAAAAAGTCATGAATAATGTCAGCTGTCTCAAGATTTCATATACTGTGACAACAGGGAGGAGCTGTCATATAAAAACCCAAATTCTGTGTAAAATCAAAGAACAGAAAGGGGTTGCATTTTGAGTTTTTTGAGGCTTTCCCAGAGTGTGACATACACCTGAGTTTAAAAAGCAGTTTAAAAGCTGCTGCAGTTCAACAGGATTGAGAAAAATTTATATTTACAGCACTTTTAAACATCCATAGAATATGCCCCCCACCTCCCCTCTCAGTCCCAGTCTGGCCAGCATTTGTGAGTTTCCAAGGAATTTTCTGACAAATTTTAACATAAAAAATTGCCTATATATAGACTAACAGAGCCAAAGTCTAGACTCAACCAGTTGGTCAGGGATTCAAAAATTGGGCCAAGTAGACAAAAAAATCTGAAAATGAAGAAAAAAATTCAGATTTTATTGAAAACTAGAATTAAGGAATTCAGATTGCATTTCCATACATTTCTCCCCAAAATGCAAGCATTTAGACAAAGGAAAACTAAAAAAAAACCACCACCAGTTGGCTTTGTTATCATACCTCTGAAGATCACTTCTTTACTCAATAGACTTTTAAAAGCTGCTAAGTTCTTCATTCATAGCTGGGATAGGACATTTCAGGTGTTCTGGACTCCCAATGACCTTTCTCCAAATAAGAGATACTTAAGGTTTTTCTTTTCTTCCAACTATTGAAGAAGCAGCTCCCCTTGACTCTTATTTTATTCCAGGGAGGAGGATCTGTGCTGGGGAGACTTTGGCCAAAATGGAGCTCTTCCTCTTCTTCACCAGCCTCCTGCAGAGGTTCAACTTCCTGCCTCCACCTGGAGTTTCCACCTCAGACCTGGACCTCAGCCCTGCTATTTCATTTAATATCATCCCCAAACCCTATAAAATGTGTGCTGTGACACGTTCCTAGAGCTCTAAGCAGCATTTATTTGTTTCAAAAATGTTCAAATTACTTTTCCATGACATCTGCCTTCCTAACCCTTTGACCAAAATAATTCACAACTTAATGAAGGTTTTCAGTACTTCTAAAGCAAAGTGGTGTTCTTTTATTTTTTATTTATTGGGGAAGGGCAGAAATAGACCACAAATATGAACTAATGTATGGCTCATGTTAGATCACCTCATCTGGGGTAAATAATACAGACCCTCAGCTTTCTTATTCTTATTTCAGTTTTCACTGTTTGTTGAAAGTATATCCCAAAAAACACTCCCAAGTGCAGGTTTCTCCAAAGAGACATACGGACCATGAAGCTGTGCCTGGGTTGTACTATTGCACTTAAAGGTAAGCACTGCAGAGCCTCTGTGGTGAATGTGGGATGTTCAGAGCTTCAGGTCTTTAGAACAGAAGGGCTTGTTCAGTCAGATGGGTTTGAAGCTGGGTTGGGTATCCTGTTCCCCAATACCTCATTGCAGTTTCTTCCCTTGGCTCTTCTCCCTACTCCTTCCACTGTCATGTGCAAAGAAATCAGAGTTCTGTACCTGTTATAGCAAATCACTTCTCAGGAAAAACCTTAAGCCAAGTTGACCTGAGTCCAGCGGTTCTTTAAGACTTTTCCTGAATCTCCTGTAAATGGATAAGCTCAGAAAAATAAAGTGTACACCTGCAGAAAATGGCTGGTGATTTTGTAATGAACCCTCTAAGGGGCTGTTAAACGTTGCATAAACACTGTGTGCAAATTCTAGCTGACAGAGGGCTCCCACCTCCTGGCAACAGTAAAAGGAAGTTAAAATTGACTGAGAGCCAAAGTAGCCTTGGGCTGATTCTGCTTCAAGCTTGTGCAACTGCTCTGCCCCTGAGGGCAGCGTGGGAGTTGGGTGGTGCTCTTGGTTCAGGTCCAGCATCCTCAGGTGCCACCCAGACACATCAGGGCTCATGGCCCAAGTGCTGGGGACATGAACAGCGTTGTTTACTGAGTGATCCCTATGGTTCCCTCACCAACCACGACAAGGTCACCTCTTTCCTGACTCTTCTACTGACTGAGAAAAATGGAAAGTTTCTGGAATAGTTCAAAGCCTTTACACATCAGTGGAAACACACCCATCACAGATCAGATGTGACCCTCCCAGACATTACAGTGTAAACCTTATTTTCCTTCCTCCTGTCCCACCATACAGTCAAGTATTTCTGGTGGTGCTCTGCCTAAACCTCAACCCAGATGTAGAATGACAGGTATTAAACAAAACTCCACCTAAAAGGAGGAAAACTTCAAGTATTACATAACTCGTTCTCCTTACTGTAGATGCCCTTTTATCACATCACCACAGAATTTCTGATTTATCTCAAAAATACTTTTGACAATTAAAAGAGATCATCTCAGTTATGAATAATCCCTATTGTTTGGGATTAATATACAAAGCATGAAAATAAGCAGTTACGGAGAGGCACAAGATCATGGATGACTCTGTGAGGATCCATAGCAAGGACATCAAAATGTCTCTGCTGGGATCAAGCCTGCTCCAGTACTGAGTCTGCAGATCCCAAAAATCAAAAAGTTGACAGCCTTGTCTGAACTGACCCTGCTCTTTCCTCCACAACCTCTATTTGCTGAGGCAGTCTGAAATTCTGCCTTTCACATGGCAGGGCCCTGTGTTGCATGATCACCTCAGGCTCTTCGCTGAGGCGTCTCTGTTTATCAGGTGGTTAATTTCTGTCTCCAAACCAAACAGCCACCAGATTTAGTTACCTGGAAATTATTCTCCTTCTCATTAAATGTAGGATCTCCACAGCTTCTGTAAAAACGGTCTAATTAGGCTGAATAAGAATCTAGAAGTAGACATCTGGCCCTATTGAAGGCAATAGCAGAATTACCAAATCCAATTACCTGGATTTGATGTTGATAAATTCAGTTTTCCTAAAATACTAGGCTGCCTTAAATCCAAACTGGCCTTTGATCCATTTCTCAAAATTCTCGCTTTTCTATAGGCTTGCAAAAAATCTCCATTGTGTGCCAATAGCTCCCTCCTGCTGGGATTCTCTGCTTTACTTTTAAAAAAAAAATCAGTTTTTAAAAATTTATAAAGTAGAATCATGGCTTGGTTTTCCAAAAACAAATCTTCCAGCCCTGTATGAGTGACTCAGGTGCACACACTGTCTTTCAGATGGCACTGCACATACAAATGCCATTCTTACATTTAACGTACTATAAACCTTAGAAATCTAAAATATTAATGGAATATTTGACTATTAGGGAAATTAAATGTGTCAATCCATCTTTCTGCCCTCCTTCAGAGCCTTTCTGTAGGCTCTGTTCTCTGAAGTCCTTTCCCTGAATTTCATGATTCGTTGTCTCAGGTAGAGAGACAAGGCTCGCCTTGTTTTTCCAACAGACTAACGCTGCAAATCTTCTTTCCCTTTCCCCCCATGCTTTGTCTCTCTGTTTCCATCTTTGTTTCACAGACAAATTCAGGAATATACCTGCAGAGCTTCACAGGTTCCATTTCCACCACCTGGACTCTTTGTTCTTTGTCCACCCTCCACCCTCTGCTCTCCTTCCTTTGCCAGGCAGGACTGGCAAAACTGGTTCCCACTTAGGCTTTAGATAATCACCTTTTCAAAAAGAGATTCCTTTTATTCTGAACAGAACTTCTGTGAGGTGCCCTTTCAGTTCAGAATATAAACACAAGCTTTAGGCCAAATCTTAATAGCTCCCATTAAGTATTTAATTGAGGACTGTGAGGAATCTTACCAGCAGTGCTGCAAGATTTTATCCAGCGTTGGCACATTTAGCTCTACCACAAGTAGCAGATGGACAGATAGATTTGTCTTGAGCATAAAGGAGACTTGTTAAATAAGCACAAACAGACTTGTTGCTGTATTAGACATTAAAAGATTTCTTTATAAAGCTTTTTTTTTTTAGTTCAGACAGCTCCTTGCAGATTTCTCTGCTTAATTTCACAGATTAATCTCTTTTAGGCCACGTTAGGGAAAGGAGAGGCTTGAGGACTTATTCTAAGACAGGCAAATGGGGTTAGAGATGTCCAAGGATCCTGCTGTAGATATTCTAGAAAATGGTTATACAGAAGAAATAATTCTTCAGTCAGAAGCAGCACAATTTCAACTGAATTACAGCAAAACTATTACACTTAGAACCATTGCCCAGTCATTTGGAATTGCCATGAGTACAGACTTCCTCGAGCACAGAAGTCGTGAGCATTTACTACCTTTGATTCTAGGATTACACAAGAAACTCTCCTATGATTTCTGATCTCACCCAAGTTATTAAATTCCACCAAAGTTCTCCAGCAGTGCAAAAAAGCCGATCTGAATGTAGGTTTGTGAAGTTTGCCTACAAGTGAGATTTGGCTAAAAACTGAAAAGGTGTATGAATCACTCTGAAAAATGAGCAGGGAAGGAACTGGGCATTCATGCTTTTCAGCAATGTTATTGATGGGCTATTTGTCTCCAGGACATTACCCTGAGCTGGAAAGCCACACCTGTGCAATGTCTTAGCTAGAGTAGTAGCCACAAGCCTGCTGTAACCCTTCCTTCGATGCTCTGGCAGGGTGTAATTATGAATCATGGTGGCAAACTGGTCTGTCAGGCTCCAGGAGAGGGGATTCCCATGTTCATCCAAGACACAGGCACTGGGGAAGCAGCGAATGAGGCCAGCAAGATACTTCTGGCACCTTGGGTTGCCTCCCCGTGACCAGGTTTTGCTGAGCAGGCTGGCATGGGAGACATCCAGGTGAGCCAAGGTCAATTTGGGGTCCATCCTAAGGGATAGCACAGAAACACTGTTAGGCACAAAGCTGTGCCCCTCATTCTCCAAGCAACTGCACTACATTTAAAGCTGCCTTCTCCAGCCAAATAGATTTCCAGGTCTGTATCAGAAAGGGGAATCAAAGCAAGCTGAGTTCATTAGGCTGGAGATTTAGAAAGAATTGTAGAGGGCAGCACCTTTCCAGTTTGGGGGTTTGTTTTCTATAAGCTCCTGAATCCACTCAGCACACTCCAGAAGTGCCTTATTCCTTACAGAAGACTGGAGAATATCTTAAGGAAGACAAGGAGACATTAGGTGGCACAAAGGAGTGGAAAGGATTTCATTTCCAGTCTTTCATCCTCCAAGACTGATAGATTCTTTCTGGATTTCAAATACACAGCAGAGAAATTTTTTATAGGAATAGTGAGGCCTCTGGTTCCCCTACTCTTCTGCTCTGATGTCAGACCAATATTTCACCAGCAGAGGGATGTTAGAAAACTTAGATTCAAGGAGTTGTGTAAAGCTTGCTCTGTGAAAAACAAATTTGGCAGGAATCCAAGATCCACCTATCAAATCTAAGAAGCTTTGACACAGGAAAGTCAAAGGACATAGAGAGCAGATCTGTGGATCCCATGTATACACGAGGAGGAGGGGATGGGGAGTATCCTGAAATGTAAATATGCAAGAGTGATTGACTAATTAAAGAAAAATCTTGATAAGTATTTAATAGTTCCTTCCTTACCAAGTAATTCCTCAGTCAGGTTTTTGAGACAGTCACAGAGAAAGCCTAACAGTCTTCCTGGTATTTTTGATGTAAATGTACTTTTAGGAAATACATCACTACAGTAATGACTTCAGTAAATGACACAGAGTGCTCAGACATACTGAAGTTTGACATCTGGCAGCATGTCCGGGTCTGGATGGATAACCATCTGGAAAGAGGATGTCTTCACATCTACTTGCTTGGATAAAGCCACAGTCCTGGATATTTCACATATTCCATCCTGGAGCCCTGTGTATACAAAGATAAATATTAAGGCACTTCACAAATAAAGTGTTTTTTTTTTTAAAAATTCTTTTTTTAGGTCTTGTCTGAGTTCAGCTTTCAAACACTGGCTCTCACTAAACCTCTAATGACACATTATTTACTGCTCAGCTCAGTCTGTATGTTGTCTACAGAATCCTATGGCCAGTAGCAAAATTAAACATCAATAAGCATCCCTTCCTGACAAGGAAATAAGTTCATCTATGTGAAAGCAGAACTTGAAATGGTAGCAGTGAATATGATATGGATGAAATTCAGAAAGCTAAAAAAATTCCATATCCTAGATCTTGATTTTTGCTTAAGTACAAAAAAACCCACCCTTTCTGTAGAGCAGAATGGCAAAGTTTATAGTCCATGAAAACTACCCATTCTGTTTACTCTGAACCAAGTAAAACTGGACTGCACCTTGAATCTGAAAAATTTGTCCCCAGTTGATAGCATTTGTGTTTTCCAATAGTTCCCAGTAAGTCTCCAGCTCCTTGTAGAAAACTGCATAAGCATTGGTGTAATGGTCAAGATCATCCATCTCATTCTGGGGAGAAAAAAAAAATGGAAGAAATACAAATGCTGCCCCTTCCCACACACAAATTTTTCACACTGGAATCAAAACTCACTAAAGGCCAACTCCAGAGACGTAAAAAATGTTATTTGGTTGCCAAGGTCTCCAGACCACACCTCTTCTGGAAAACAAAATATTTTCCCTGCCCCTGAAAGAGCTGAAATAGCACAGCCTGGCCTCATCAATACTATTGCACCCTCTTACTCTCCAAAACAGGTTGGAAAGACTCAAACTGCCAGCTGGGGATTGTTCACATCCTGTGCTGACTCCTTCATTGCTGGTTGTCCCAGAGACCTCGACAAGGATTTAGTTGTACCTCATATGAGCCTACAAGAACAAGGGATTGTTATCTGAGCCTAGAGTTGGGGAAGCATCCACCAATTTGTGCAGCTCAGAGATTGCTTTATCACAGTGGATAGAGGGAGCTATGGCAATGCCCCCTCTGAAACCCTCTGTAGCACAGCCTGTAATGGACTACAGGAATGCAGAAGGACCCTTCCTTCACCTTGTAGCAGCATCTGCCCCACAATAAGGTCACTAAGGCTCTTTTTGTGTGTATCTATCTGCACAAAGGCTGGAAAGACGAAAGAATCCTTGGAGAGGTTTGGTCAAGTGGCATGAGTGCAAGTAAAATGTGTCTCTGCATAAACTCTGCACGTTAATCTTCAATCAGTGTAATCAGGCTAATTACAATCAATTAGAGCGTGTATTTCATAACTAAGTTTGTTTATGCTAGAATTCCTAGGCAGAATGTCCCAGGAAAAAGCAGCACTCCCTATAGTGTGCTTTGTGCTGGCACCCACTGGGATGTCCCATTGCACTCTATGGTTCCCACCTCCCCATTACACACTTCCCAGATACAGTTGGCTCCATCCATAAAGCCCTCAGAAAGCTGGGAGGAAGGCTCCAGTCATGTTGGATCCACCTCTCAGAAAGAAAGATAAAAACCACCTCCATCTACCTCCCTCTGTGGCCGGGTGATAACAGCTTTGAAGTCTGGCCATGAGTCCACCACCACTTCTGTCCTGAAGGGGTTCCCTCGGCTGATGTTCATCACAGCTCCATAAACCTGCAGGAAGAAGAACCAATAGAAGAAAGACAGTTTGAGACATGCTACCATGTGTTGTAAACCAGAGACTGAACCAGTGACACAGAGCTGAAAGCTTCACACACACACACACCCCTCATGTAACCCTTCAGGTGTGTAGGCTGAGACCTACACACTGACCAGTAAGGCACAATACCATGAAGATAAACCATTATCTAACTATGCCAACCCTAATCACTATGGAGAGGAGGTGGACCAATGTTCTTCTTTTCTTAAGATTACTTGGGTTAGTAATCAGGACCAAAGGATAAGACAGGCTGAAAGAGTTGGGGTTGTTAAGCCTGGAGAAGGGAAAGCTCTGGGAAGACCTTAGAGCACCTTCCAGTACCTAAAGGGGCTCTAAGAGAGCTGGAGAGGAACATTTTACAAGGGTCTGGAGTGACAGGACAAGGGGCAATGGCTTCAAACTGAAAGAGGGCAGATTTAGATTAGAGATTAGGAAGAAATTCTTCCCTGTGAGGGTGGTGAGGCCCTGGCACAGGTTGCCCAGAGAAGCTGTGGCTGCTCCTTTCCTGGAAGTGTTCAAGGCCAGGTGGGATGGGGCTTGGAGCAACCTGATCTAGGGGAAGGTGTCCCTGCCCATGCCAGGGCGTTGGAACTGGATGAGCTTTAAGATCCCTTCCAAGACAAATCATTCCTTGATTCCATGATATCTCAGATGCAGTTCTCTACACAGCAACTATCAGTCAGTCCAGAGGAAGCACAACCCTTTCCCAACAGTTTTGATTCCCTGACAAACAACCAAAATCACTGATGGAAATACCACAGAAAATGCAGGTCAGTGCTGTGTTACCTTAAGGGACTCAGGAAAACTCTTCCTTAACATTTTCTCAAGCATCTGCAGCTTCCTGGAGCAGTTAAGTACCAGCATCTCTCTTGCTGGGAACACATAGAAAATATAAAGATTCACTCAAAAAAAGAGATAATGTGAAGGAACTGAGTGGCATAATTGCTAATTTCATAAAATACAGTATCTCCCACAAGTGTCTTGCTTCAGAATGTACCTGTGTAAAACAAACAAAACAATTTCCAAAACCAAAGAGTTTCTGAGAAGCCAAAAAAAAAAAAAAAAGAGTAACTTCACTTAAAAAGTCTAAGGGAAGAATTCAAATCCTAAGGTTTCTCAGAGGTACCACAATGTTCATTCTTTCTTTTACCTCTTAAATGTGCACCATTTAATCTTAAAAACATTTCCCTTTACTGCATTTTGTTATAAATATTACCATACCTTAAGAATTACTGCAGCCATCAAGTATCCACCTTCCTACTAAGGAACATCTTACAAACAGCCACCCCTCAGGATCACAGATCAGCAACCTCATCTAGTGGAAGGTGTCCCTGCCCATGGCAGGAGGTTGGAACCAGTTGAGATTTAATGTCCTTTCCAACTCAAACTCTCTGATGATTCTGTGATTACATGTAGGTATTTACCTTCCTTGAAGCTTATATTCCATTTTCTCACCATATTCAATGGAAAAACTGTCTCTGGGTCACTGCATCACTGTGCAACTGTATCTAAAGGCAGCATCGGTACGTGTTTGAATACACAGCTACTTTTACTTAAGGACAGTTCTAAGACCTTTATGCCTGGAAATACTTTGATTTGGAAAAAATATTGATATGTATAGCCCACTTGATCACTTACCTGCTTTGAATCTTGGAGCTCACCCTTCTGAAGTGCAACAATAACTTGAAGTGAGGAGACTATAAAATACATCCACTTTGTGGCTGCTTCTGCACAGGGAATGATGAGAGTCCTCGTTCAGAATCTCAAACCTATAAATTTATTGATCCAAGTTGTTCTAAATTGGTATACTGCTCCTAGCAGCTTTGTTCTGTCTTTTTTGAGGAGAGCATGGAAATAAAAGCCAGAGCCAGCCACACCTTCAGAGAAGGAGGGACTCTGTAAGAAAAGTGACACAGGGCTTGTTCAGGAGTATATGTTCTAGAAAGAACTTTTAATTTTTTCATGAAGACATTTAATCTCTCTGCATTCATACCAGTGAATGGTATGCTTTGCACACACTTATAATGATCTCTTCTCAGTGGGAGGGAAATTAGTCAGTTCTCATTCTCAGTGCCAAGGTTCTTACCATGAGGTAAACTGAGACCAGAGAAACCCAACCCAGCTCAGTGGCCCCAAACAACACTTTGAGGTGGCAGCCCTGTTCCCCTTTTGCCTGAGTTTTCAGTTGTCCCTGTCAGTCCAGTTTTATGATGTTAACCCATCCTGTCCTCTGGATTTGGACTGGATAACCTACAAACAAGGCAGAAGAGTCAATACAGAAAGAATGTCGAAGTGTTACACAAGAGGACATGCAGACGCTTTGCTTGAACATAAGAAAGGGTTGATATGGGATACAGATGAATGTTACTGATATATCTTAAGAAATCTGTAGCTTATAACTTACTGCTTGAAGCCAAGGCTTGTGAAATTGAAGTTTCAGAGGCTCCCAGGTCATATCACACAAGTTCACAGCTCCACACAGACTGATCTGTTGCAGGACAGAAATTGTGTGAACAGTTTCTGTTGCATTTCTGTGATTTCTCCCCTGGCATGGCTGGGTGCAGATAGTAAAAAATACTGCGCCACTAAGATGGCTACTCGAGCTAAAGTGAGAACAAAGGTGGATTCATGCCAGATGCCAAGGAGGAGTTTTGGCAGGTGATTAAAGTTTTCTCATCTTCTATGACCACCTGTTGTGGTCCAATTAGCAGTGGACAGCAGAGCATGTTTTCCTTATGTAACCAATGTATGTGAACAAGAAGCTAAGCGTCATGAGCACTATATAATCTGTGTTTCTCCTAATAAAGTAGACATTTTGCCTGATCACATTGGTCTAAGAGCAGTTTGTCCGTACCCTTCCATCAAGACTGATCAACAGTGAACCTGCTCCTAGAGGGGTCTTCTAATCTCATCAAAGCCACAGTCTGACCATTCTGCACTGAATGAAGTGTATCCAACATCAAGTAAGTTGAGCTAAGACCACTTCCTAAGTGTCTGGATTTATGTTCCTGGTTTATGTTTTTCTGCTTATGTGTGCATGACAACCCCAAGATAACAACATCCTAAGAACAGCCAGCCTATCACAAATCACCTAGTCTCAGGAAAAAAATAAAATTAAAATAGTTAATTAAAAAAATTAATGTGTACCTATCTATCCCTGTAATGCAGAAGCTCCTTCTTCAATTACTGCTATTTCAGCTTTCCTTGTGTGGAAGCTGTATCTGACTCCTACTTACTGCCCTTTTCCACACTTTCTTTTGAAAGTATTAAAAAAAAAATGAAAAGGTATCCATTGGTTCAGGCAGTTCAAAACCCACATAGTCATTTGCTCACAAGTAAATCACCCTTAATGAAACAAAGCAAAAATTAAGATGCTGGCATGCAGGAAAATCATGGGTTAAAGTACTTTTGGGTAAAGTCAGTAAATGCTCCCCTTGTCAAGTGATCAAAAATTTGAGAAATATTTTTAAATAATTATGCATGGGAAAACAGTTTTTTTAATTTCATTTTCATCCTCCAAAGCCAAAAGGTATTTGACAGTTAATGAAATACAAGGTAAATACCAACTCTGAGATCAGAGCTTAGCTCTATAACATTCTCAAGTAGTTTCCCCAAGCACCTGGATAAATCAGGTGGGGTTATTTTTTAGCAGTGAACATGCAAGTGCAAAAAAATCCTGTACAGTTGATAAAAATGATTCAACTTCCTGCCATGGAGGGCGTTTTACTAAAAAGGAAAAAAAAAAAAAAAAGTAGAAAATCAAACAGGGCATTTACAACTGAGTATTAGAAAATCATATTTTTACTAGGTGGTTCAGGTTTAAAGAGGATTTAACTCTTACTTTGGTAAGAGATTCTGCCTTCAGTGATCTACAGATGTAGATACAGAAGTGCAAATATAATGGAACAGTTGCCTAATTCTATAAAAATGCCCAAATAACCCAGGATCCATTTCCCTCCCTTCTCCTAAGACAGGATATATCAACATTAGAAGTCATCACAAGTCAAAACCCAAAAGAATCCTTGATAGATGACATAAATCACTGGAGTCCCAGAATGTATCTACAGATTTATATACCAATATTCATAGAAAATGTTTTAAGGGAAATTCAGCAGTCACAACAGCAAAGCCATTACAAAGAAAACAGTTTCCATGCTGAGCACCCTGCTGCTCTACATTAACACAGAGTGCTGGCCGACATTATCTCCTTCAAAGGAGACTCCACACATTTCATCTTCTCAAAGCAAGTCCACCTTCTCATAGGTCTTTTCAATGAGGGTTAACAAGTTCTTCAAGTCAGCTGACTGCTGAATAGTGTTCAAATCCTTTAAGAGACCTTTCTGATTCTTTGTCTTCAAAATTTCTTCCTAAAGAAGGGAAGAATGATGGACAACAAATAAAAACCACTTTTGTCAAGTGCAACAGGAATTCCCCTTTCGTGCAGCCCAGCTGTAGCCAAAATAAGATTAAAAAAAGATTCAAAAAGACAGAGTAAGTCTTCCCTTCAACAGTTATAGATATGTTTCAGGTAAGATTACAGTTTCCCTAGGACCACAGGTTTTTCTAGGAAGAGACAAGTGATCCTTTCAATCAGAGGGTGATTTAGCTTAGAAGGGACCTTAAAGATCATCCAGTTCTAAGGCCCCTGCCAATGACAGGGACACCTTCCACTAGACCAGGTTCCTCAGGTCCCATCCAACCCGGCCTTGAACACTTTCAGGGATGGAGAGAGTTTCCAGGGTTTTGTTCTCTTTTTAAAACATAAATACATAGTTCCCAATGAAAAGAAACAAGAAAAAAAAAGGACAAAGAAAATCTCTCCAATTTTTCTGAATTTTCAGAATTGCCCCCTCTGACAGAAGATGTGATAAAAGCATATTCTGTTGCCTTCCTTCTCATAACCAAAGTATTACATATATATATTTATATAAATAACAGTTTATGTATATAAATATATTATATATTCCACACTCACCTGCAAAGTAGGTGCCTGCAAACTGTGCTTGGGGAGTTCTGGAAGGTGGAGTGCACCACTGCCATTTTCCTGGAATACCTAGGAAGGGAAAAAGAAGAAATAATCCAAAAAAACCCAAACATCAGGCTCCCCAGTAGGAAAATAACCTGGCTGTCATTATCCAACTTCTGAAAACTAAACTTCTTAATTTTGCAACTAAAGTTGGCAAAATTGAAAAGAATCATTCCCAAAGGCAAGTGAGGCCTTCCTTAAATGACATTCCCTGAGAAACAGCTTGTTTAGGACAGCTCTGGAAGTTAGCCCATTCCTGTAGGTTAGGGTACACAAGTATTTATTGGAGATACCTTCCTGGCCTCTTTTTCATCTTCCTCTAACTGGTTCTTCAGCAGCTGGATTTTGTACTGCAGTTGCTGCACAGTTTCCTCAATGCGCTCTGCTGATTGCTCAGCTTCAGTTATTTCTTCCTAAAACAAAACAGACACAAAACCAGAATAAAATTTACTTCAGAGATGGGGAGCCTTTTGTACAGAACCATCCAGACAGAGACACTGCAGTGCAGCAAAGGTGGGTGATGATGAGGCGTGGACACTCCTCCACAAGAGCATAGGCACAGTCAGGTCTCTCTCTACTAAAAGGTTACAACACACACTGAGCAGCAGCAGCTGGGTAAGGTAATTCCTTCCCTTTCTTGCCTTTTATACCTGCAGTTGTGCCAAAGATTCCTCATTTGCCTCAAGCATTTGTCTCTCTGCCATTTGAAGGCTTGGGATATTCTTCAGGCTGTCCAGCTTCCCTGGAGGCACCTTTAAAGTCTTGAAAACTCTCAGCACCCTTAAGTGTAGAAAAAGGAAAACATGACTTGTTTGGAGTTCTTTGCAAAACTCGAAGTGACTAATTACTTCTCTGGGGAAAAACTAAACTCAGTTTAGCCCAATTGCTGCCAGTGAAGTAAAAGGCTCCAGACAGGAAGGAAAGCTGTCTTGAACTGTTTTCCAAAATCATGTGGAATAGATGTCTACCTAAAGAAGGAACCAGGAACAAGGAATCCCACCATTCTCACCTTTGCTACTGCACTGACCTTGTGTGATTTCCATCCCACTAGCCTGTACACTCCCTGATTATAAACTATTCTGACCCTTCTGCTTTTTAAAGTAAAACTAAGTTCTAAAATCAGCATTTTAGCTGCTTCCAAACAATCATCATTTTAGTAAAACCTGAACATGATATAGGATGTATAGCTTTTTGTCAGAAGGAGAGTTTAGCTTGCCCTCAAAGCATGGTACAAAATAACTGGGTTAAAGAAATCTCTTCTCTCACTCTTTTCTTTTAATTTATAATTTCTTACCTTTTTTTCAGTACATTGAGGTGCTTCTGAACATCATCTTTCTCCTTCCTCTGTTGGTACAAAACAGATCTGGAAAGAAAATAAAGGCAGAATTCCCGTCACAAAGCCTGCAAGCACAGAGAACACATCAAATGAAGTGCACACAGTCAGAACTTCTCTAGGTAAAAATTTCCAATTTCAGATAGAAAGTGTTATATTATATTGCATAAAATATAGACAGACAGCCATATTGCCCAAAAAAGCTCCAAAGCATTTCCAGTTCAAGCAATACTACAATTTTTACTTTATTCCTTGCGGAAACAAAGAAGAACCATCAGGACATTTGGCACTTACAGTACTGCTGAATCCACTACAGATTCCAGAAATTGTCTACTGCTCTCTGAGAGAGTCTGCCAAGATCCTATTGTAGCACTGGAAAGCTTCACTGGTTTTGAAGAAACATTTTCTCCTGTTAACACAAAGGAAGAAAAGGAAAAAATATGATTTGTCAAACCTGGACAGATGGTTCTGTGACTCATTTCAGTCAGATGGGAGTCAAAGGTGTAACAATTCAGATTTAACAGAAAAGAACAAGGTTCTACCTCCAGGGGAATAGTCTCTCTGCTTCTTAACTGTCCTTTTCACTGTCTCAGTGACCTGCTGAAGAGAAAAATTTGTAGCAAATGTGGCAATCTTGAAACATCCTCTGCTGTGCCATCATCCATCCACTACCATCAACCCACTGTGTTAGTGCCTGACAGAAGCCTTTGATACTAACCACTAAAAAAACCACCTTTTTTGAACTGTGCAGCAGTAATTCATGCCAAGCAGGCTAAGGAAAAAAAATTCACTCTTCCCAATTCCTCCCATTCCAAGAATGAGATCATGAAATAAATGCAAAGGATGTTTGTCTGTTCAGCAGCATCTTGAGATCATGCTGTTCATCAGTTCAGTGGCTGGACAAGAGACCTTGTTGGAGAATCCTGTCCTGAGACATGCAGAGAATATCTTCCAAAGGTGAATAAACTGAGCTGAATGAACTCTGACCTGATCACTCTGCTCAATCAGATGCTGTTCAGCAGCTCTTCACAACTGCACAGACAGCTTACCTTTTTGCTCATGATCAGGCAATGCTTCCCTCTACTTGTGACAGGCACAGTAGCACCCAACTAGGA